TTCCAGTGTGGTTTTGGAAATACAAGTCGTGAACTATGTGCTGTACGCATCTGCCCAGCAGCACTGGGTCCTGTAAAACTATTCGGAAGACGTTCTCTTGATTGTATTGGATTATGCCAGATGTTTATAYAAAGTTTTTGTGAGCAGAGAAAACTTTTGACCATCCAGTACTTTTTTCATTTTTACTGTTTTCTGGACAAGGGAACTTGACTAAGYTTTATTTATTTTAGTTTACTAATTTGGGCATGTGTCCAGTCCAGACTAGTAGAAAAATGCTTCAGGTTTAACTGCACTGGTTTAGCAATCTAATCTGCCTGTGTGTGTTTCATGAACAGTCGTGTGGAGGTTCCACAGAAAACTAAATGGAATTAAACCTGTGATGAGGATGTAAAGAAGTAGTAAAATATCTTTTTTTCGTTATTAGTAGTTTCTTGGGACAGCAGAGAAGATGATGCAAAACATTTGTGGATGTGGAAATCTTTATCTGTCCTGCCCAGAATCATTTAAGCAAGTTGTCAAAAAGTGCAGGCTTGTGTGTGTAGTGACATGACTGATAAAATACTGCCAGTTCCATGCGTTAGGTAATTGAGTTCATAAAGCTTGGCAGTGCAGGATTTTGGGTAACACACATTTACAGACTGACCATCTTGTCTTAACAGGAAAATGTTCATTGGCGGCCTTAGCTGGGACACGACGAAGAAAGATCTGAAAGACTATTTCTCTAAGTTTGGGGAAGTTGTAGACTGCACTCTGAAGTTAGATCCCATCACTGGGCGATCGAGAGGCTTTGGCTTTGTACTCTTCAAAGAATCAGAGAGCGTAGATAAGGTAAGATCAATGGAATGAAACACATTCAAATTTAAATATCAGAGACAAAGCACTAGGATGACTGTGGGCATTGTTGTTTCTATATCTTCGGTTAAAGGTGTTTCAGGGATGCAGTGTGTTTAAAGTGCTGKTTGAAATTCTTACTTTTATGAGCCCTCTTACTCGAGATGCAGTGTCCAGGGCCAGCAGTGATTCCTGAGGTATGGATTTGGGTACTTACAGGTTGTGCAAACCATTGGGCTTGGGCACTTGAGAAATACAGTGTATAAATGTCTGCTGCCTACGCCTGTGAAAGCAGCATTTGCAAAGATCTTCAAGTCTTTGTGTTCCAGAGCTGAAATGTGAATCCTTAGAGTAGAACCAATAGCTTTGATACATTTGGGCTCTATCCAAGCAAAAAGTAGCTGTTAACTTTTCTAAAATGCTGTGGATACAGCACATGGAAAAGTTTTCGCCTTCATGCACCTTTGTGATGTGTACAGATTCTTTACTTTGTAAGGTTTGAGGATGAGATGAAGACAAATAGAGTACTTTTTGAGAAATGTTACACTCTTGCATCTGCTGGGTAATGAGCTGGAAAAGCTTTCTCAGAACTGTCTGTGTCAATGGAAAGTGATCAAAAATCACAGAACGCTTTGCTTTTGTGCAACAAATTATTGCTG